ATAAAATAAAAATAGTTTGTCACTACTATGTAGGAAAAAGAATATATATATATATATAATCTCCTATCAAAGTTTAATGACATTTCATATTTACCCTTTCTTTCTTGAACACGCTGTTGCACATAATTATTGAGGTCACTCAATTCTTCAAGTTCAAAGTTATCATTACATAATTTTATTACCGGTGTGCTTATCTGTCCAGATGTAAATGTTTGCATTTTGTCACATCTTATCAGCCTAACATTCCGTAGGGATGGCAATTTAAAAGCATTTTTTGCCCAACAAAAACTTGTGAGGTTTGGTAGATAGGAAAGCTCCATAGACTGTAACTTGGGAAACACAATTTCATCCATGGCACCATCCTCTTCACCTTGATCTTCATTTTTAATTATTTCTTCAATCGCATCACACCAAACGACCCTCAGTTTTTCAATATTTGTGAGATATCTTGCGATTGAGAGTGAGAATAAATATTTCAGGCTGTGGCAAGATACAACTGTTAAAGATGTTAGGTTGTGGTAGGGGTCCAACTTTGTTATTTGAGAAAACACTGCTGCTCCTCTTTTGATGTCTTCAAGTCCTTCAAGGTTGAAGACAACTTGTAATAAAGAACAATATTTCACAGTGAGTTTTTCAACAACTTCAAACCTCTGTAGCAGCAGGGTAGGAATGTTCACAAACATGTGGAAGTGAATCAGCCACAGCTTTCTAACTTTGCTAAATGAGGCTGCTGGGACATGGCCATACCAAATATCTTCAAAGATGATGCTTACATCGGAGAGTCCCAATTTCTCCAAGACAGGAAAAACAACCTACACAGATTATTTAGTACTCTTTGAAGCATGTAAAATTTGATGAAATAAAAGCAACAGACAAATCCATTAAAGAAAACATTTTGTTATTAAATTTTCAGTTAAAAGGAGTTTAAAAACTTGCTCTACTATCTCTAGGTTCACTGAATTCAAAATCAAACGAAAGGCGTCTTGATTATGTTGAATCATCGAGTCAATAGGGTTATCTGATGAAGAGGATGATGAAGAAGAAGAATTAGAGCTTGACAAAGGAAAAAATCGTGATGAGGAAGCCATTGGAATTTTGAGATTGAAGGAGATGTGAATTGATATTTTGCTAGAATAAGTTGAGATAAATGTAATGATGATGAGATGAACAAATAGTTCTTTATATAAGATGAAAAATATAGCTGTTATAAATAATTAAATATAGCCGTTAGAAATATAATTGTTAGGAAAAAGTTAAAAAATAAAATTTATTAAAATATTAATATTTTTTGAGAGCGAAAATGCACCATTGGAGTACATGCAATAGCTAAAATTTGGAGACTCTAAAACGCTGACGTGGCTATGGGAAATGCTGATGTGGCTATGAGAAATGCTGACGTGACTATTGAAAAATGCTGATGTGGCAAATTCGGAGAGCCTAAATTCGGAGAGCCCATTGGAGATGCTCTTAGGCAATTACCTCTATCACCTTATGGTTGAACCGCCTGATGTTGTATATAATGTAAACATTATTACATTTCAATGTTTTGCATGCTTTTGAATTCAACAATTACTTGCATATTAGTTTAGATAATTAGACGTGGCGATGTTGCCTGAATGGTAAAAGGGTCGGGCCTGCCCACCCTCCTAGGTTCGATTTTCCCTCTCCCAACTAACTACTAATCATTGCCAGACTAAAAAAAAAAAAGTTAAGATAATTAAGGTGTGCAAGAAACCATATAGATTAACTTCTCAGTTCTTAGCCTTAACTAGAGATAGTATCAATTTCTTTTATACTCTTTCACTTAACCAAGTCAAATGAGAATGACACATTCTTTTCCTTATGACTGTCTTCTTTTTTTCCTTTTCTTTTCAACCTTTTTCTCCAACCACTCTCCTATTCCTCGTACCAAAAGAAGCATTACCCGGATATTAATATATCTAATGAGGGTATAATGATGAAATTAATATAACACGTATCAATTTTTTTCCCAGCAATGAAGAGTGTCAATTGATGAAACTAATATAACACATATCATTTTTTATTTTTTATTTTATAATAATAATAATAATAATAATAATAATAAATTAGGAAGCACGGACACTTCTACAAAGGAGCCCTACCCGTTTCGGATACCGACATTCCTCGGGTACTTGTCTGGCACTTCATATACGTGTCCATAAATAAAAATTAATTTTATTGTTTTGGATACTTCGCTGACACTTTTCAGACACTTCACCGAGACTTTCCTGATATTTTTAACACAGGTCTACCCATTAATCTTGAAAGTAATATGAATACTTTCGTGACAAAGAAGTGAAATTATGGTATATATGATATAAAAATCATCACAATAATGACATAATTTTATTTTCTAATTCATTTCAGAGCAACTCTTAGTATAGAAATTATAAATAAATTAAAGTTTTATAATACTATTACTAAATAGATGTATAAAAATAAAAAATTATATTTATATGTAGCCGTGTCTACGTCATACCCATGTCTTACTTTTTAAAAATTTGACGTGTTAACGTATCCGTATCGTATTGTGTCTGTGCTACAAAGATAATAAATAATTGGTATAGTTCTTTAGTTTTTTCTGTCCAATTTTCCTTCCTTCATATAAAAATAATTCATTGATACGCAAAAAAAAAAAAAAAAAAAAAAAAAAAAAAAAAAATCTCAAGAACTCGAAAAATAGAACTATTTTTCAAAGAATTATAAACGTCAAATCTATGAAAATAGAGTTTTTGGTAATCATGATTTGAGAGCTGTATTAAGTGTAAAAAAAGTAATTGATGACATTATTTTTCTAAAACATAATAAATTATGAAAATTATTAACTTCTTTGAAGTAGTTTTTCTTTTTATTGGGATTAGAAAGGATTTAAAAAGGGATATTCCCCCGTCTAGCAAAAACCGAATAAATATAAACATAAATAAAAAACTATATACGGAAACTTAAAAAAAAAAAAAAAATTGCATTGATAAAAGAAAAGAAAGGAGAAGATTAAATTAAATTTTTTGTGTTTTTTTTTTTTTTAAAAGAAAACACGCTTTGAACACTAACACCCCACTAAGACGACGCAAACCCTAAGACTACTGCCGTGGTGATATAAAATCCATATTTCCGTAACTGAAAAGTACGGGGAGCACTCAGAAATCCCTAACGGTCGTCGTCTCGCTGTAGGTAGCATCAAGTCATCAACAATGGTAAAACCCCATCTCTCTCTCGATTAATCTTAATGTTTCTCTCCTACTAATGTCTGGAAGTTGAGAACGAAGAGGAAATGAAAACAAATTCTCTCTCATAATGTTATTTTGATCTAACCTACTTAACATGGCCATCAACCCTTTCTTGAACCAAAATTCAAATCTGTAGTACCTTAATTGAGAAAATAAATGATTCATGCTATATATATATACACCCACCCACACACAGACATTTTGAGTTGATGTATTTAGTATAGATTTTCTGGTTTTAATGGATGAATCCTTCATAGGAGTTCACTGGTGTGAAATTTAGCTATATATATACACACCCACCCACACACACAGCCATTTTGAGTTGATGTATTTAGTATAGATTTTCTGGTTTTAATGGATGAATCCTTCATAGACGAGATGTTACTTTTGGTTCATGTAGATTTCAGTTTTTTGACACCTGAGATTGAATTCTGATAGAATTTTGTAATTCTATAGCTTGTTCTACTGGAAAAATGGAGGAAAGATTGATTACTTATAAACAAAACCGAGCTATTGGTTTGCTATATGCCCAAAATCGATTGCTTGTAAACACAAACTTTGTACACTTTTGAAGCTCTTCTTGGATATTTTCCCATTATTATGCTAATGCTAATTGTATTATATATAGTCCATGCTATTTTGAACATATTCTGTTCTAACTAGTAGTGCCTACAATAAGCATAACAGTGATTGATATGTCCATGAGTGTTGAACTGTTGGTATTGGGAAATTGGATGACGAAAATATTTTAACCTTCTATTTGACTAACTTATTGATCCTTTTTGACCCTGAATTTCTTTGTTCATAGAATTTCCATTAGTTTGGATTGAACTTATTGAATTGAATCAATTCTATTGCCTTTTCCTTTTTTGAATGTGACTGTTGTTTGATGCTTTGAACCAATTAGCAAAAGTTGCGTTGTTTGTTACCTCTTAGAAAGTAATAATACTTGAAGTTGAAGGTGTATATTTTGAGCTCATTTTTGGAGTTGGTGGTGATCTACAACTCATGGTCAGACCCTGATGCCCTGCATATTTGTTTTCCTAGCTGACTTGAACTGATCTAAGTTGCTGATTCTTGCAAATATCTGCAATTGGACACATCGAGTGCCTTCTAGAAATCATGGGTTGGACCTGATATTCAGTGTGCACGGAATCATTAATAATTCGCAAATATTGTAGATTTTTTTTTTTATAAGTAAAATATTGTAGATTATTGATGAACGTGTAACTGTTTTTTCATTGTTGACGTCAACTGGCAATGTGGTGTGCCTCTAGGTCATCTCTTGTTAATTATTAAGGAAGTAGAGGCATTGTTCTTTCAGTAGTGTGTCTTGTCCAGCCATTGATTTTTGTATGGTTGTGGATTTACTTTTTCTTTATACAGGTAATTGTTTTTCAATTTTTTTAATTTCTACTTCTTTTGAATGGGTGGGGGTTGTGTCCATCACCCCTTATATATATATATATATATATTCCTTTTTTTTATGTTTTATTTTGAAGAGGTAGTTTCTGAAGTCATAAAAGCCAAGGAAGTAGTGGTCAAATTTGTGTTGGTCCCATACTCAAAGTACATCATATTGACATATTGCTTTGTGGGTTGGATTTCAATTTGGTTAATAAAAAGATGCTTTTTCCTTTGTCTCTTTGATGTTGGACAAGGGAGCAGCCTTACATAGTTAAGAACTTAAAGAATTCAGAGGCTGAAAGTTCAAAGAACTAGGGCTAAAATTTGGGATGTTTGATAGTAGAAATGTTGGAAATCAAGGAGAATAGAATACAAGCTGTCTATTGGCGGCATCACTCCAACAGGGTCAGAAAAATAGATTATGGTTCAAGAGAGAGAAAGGATTTGAAAATAAGAAAAAGCCTATTGGCATACACCCAGAACACCAAAAAAAACCCTATTGGAATCACTCCAGCAGGCCTAGGTATCACACCTAGAGAAGTCCTCACACCCTCGGAATTTGTGAATCACTCACAGATAAATCTCAAAGGATATTTTTATTCATTCATTCATTGCCTCACCAAGTTTACATCATACCCTACTTATAGCAACTTATGACCCTGAGATTACCCCATGATTGAGGTAATAAAAAGTTGACTCTATAGCATAATAAAAGTAATCACTCCATAATTAAGGTAATCAATATTTGACTCTATGATTACCCCATAATTAAGGTAATCAATACTTCCCTAATAGCATAATTAAAGTAACTAAAAGTTGACCAAATCTCCCAATTATTCAAAACTCCATGTGGACCCATATTATCTAGCGTATGCCAGCTCGAATCTTAGAATCCTCCTTTTGGCGCCTTTTATACACCTTTAAAAATTTCTGCCATTGATTTCCATCACTCTTTATTCCCCCTTCTAAGGTTGGGCTAGGAGTCATCAGTTCCCAAAGATTCTTTGTGTGTGTGGAAAAGGAGGGGGGATGCTCCATTTTCCAATATTAGAAGTGCTGGATTGATATAGATTGAAAATCAGTTGCACATAATTCTATCATATTTGAAAAGATATGGAAGCTGGAATTTGTGGCACTTCAACATTATTCTCCTTTGACTACTTATTGAATTTCTCAGGCATCTCTCTACAATCAGCTTTTACAGCCGCCAGCAGGGATTTATATTTAACAGTGATATTGTCTGTTCAATACGGTGGAAGTATATAAAGTTGTGTGTATCGTCATCTTAGCACGTCTTCCAGACCCTCATTGGGCTTTCCTTTATTATACAACCCTGTATACTAGATTTTCTCAATAAGGCACTAGTCATTAGTCATTACGTATGTAGCAAACAGCTGCTAATGATGGCAGCATGGCAAAAATAAGTTGTTGTATGGAAGAGAAAAGGTTGGTCAAAAGGTATAGGATTTGTAGTGGTGGAAATTCTAAGAGCTTTATATGGTATAGCTTCAATCCACCCCCCTCTCCAAACGTTCAGTTGTGGTTCAGATGGGTCATTGCTAAAATGAATCGAATTCTATCAGATATTTATATTTCTCCTTTGACATACTCGTATATATATATATATCCTATAACTTTCATTTCACAGTAGAAACTATTCTAGGAGAACTTTGAATCAGTTCCGTTCAGATGTTGATTGCTCTAGTCTTGGTTTGACATCGTTTACTTGTTACTGGTTCTGGAGAGTTACTCTCTCCATTAGCTAAACCATTTCTTACCCTGCGTATGGATTCGTATATTCTATGTACACAATCAACTGAGGGCTCCTTGACATATTTTGCAACGTCTCCAATAAGCGTGCTCCACGAGCTAACTTGTGTGTTTCATGGAATTCTTATGAATTGTGAGTGTGTTATGATTTTTTGTATTACGTTTCCTTTGATTTTATTGGTTCCCATTGTTTTTTCCAAGTTCTTAGTTAACTATGAGGTGTCTATAATATTGAAACTTCTAGGTGAGATCCTATCATTTTTATTTCCTAGTTTTTAGATGCAAATGCAGCAAAACTTAATCTCAAGTAAAAGCAAGAATGAAAATGCTCTCTTACCAGATTGCACATTTTTAGCATTCATTTTTCCTATTTCCATTTTGATGTAATATGATCTGTATCTTGCAGGTGAATGTTCCAAAGACAAAGAAGACATATTGCAAGTCTAAGGAATGCCGGAAGCACACCTTGCATAATGTTACGCAGTACAAGAAGGGAAAGGATAGTTTGGCTGTGCAGGGCAAGCGCCGGTATGATCGGAAACAGTCAGGTTGTGGTGGACAAACCAAACCTGTTTTCCACACGGAGGTAAAACCTATTTCTATTATGTCGGGAGATAAGAAGGGGAAGGGGACTTATCTTTTCTAAGTGGCAGTTTTATGGAGTATCATCCTGGTCTTATTGCTGTGCTATGTTTCTTGACCTAAGGTTTAACTTTCAATTTGAATGCTTCTGTTTTTATGCTTGTTTTTACCTTTTGAAATGAATAGATATACCTTGCATACTTGAAGGGCAATGTAGCTTGGATTAAGCTATCGCGATTATGAACATAAAAATGGATTTTAAATATCAGTATTTAGCAGGCAGGTTCTATAAAACTCCCGATAAATCTAATTGGTTTGTGTTGCATTGTCTATTCGGTTTTCTTATTTGTTGTCATAGGCTTTTGTGTACTGAACCTTGCTACCCTATCAGTGCCATGATAATACCTTCATTTGTATATTTGTGCTTATATATATACATATTTATATTGATTACTGTAGTATGTTTGTTTTTGCTTTAATTTATTTTTTTGGGTAAATTGTTTTTGATTTTATAGAACTACTCTTATAATTTGAGTAATAGGGAACATGAATAAATGATGAAGAAGTTTTACATAATTATGGTGGTACCCTCTATATGCACAAATGCATTGATAAGGGGGCAAGAGTTTCCTTCACCAAGATGATGCTTAACATTTGAATTCAAATCTGGTGGAAAAGAATTTATGAAGAGCGGATGTGTGAGTTATTTGTCATAAAAAAAAATGCATTTTTTACTTTAACAAAATAATTTTTAACTTTTTATTTTTATTATATTTGTATATATAGACATACGGAAATGATCTCTTGCTTAACGGTGAGCAAGAAATTTGTTCACATATATGGATATGTTTTTGCATCTGAGTGCTTCCTTTTAGGAAAATTGTTTCAAGTAGGATGGTTTCTCTCTCCCTCCCTGCCTATTAAAATACAATCTGTGCACATTTTCTAATATAGAGTACTACAGTTAAAATTATGTGGGTGAATTATGCTGACCTCCTCACGTTTTCACCCTCTGACAAAAACCTTTTGAAAAACCAGTCTCCCTGGTTAAAATTACAGAAATAACCGTGCAAATGTTTGTAATGACTTCTACTGCCATCACTAAAGTGAGTTGCGGATAGTTGGAAATTTGGTAAAGTCCTTGCACATCCTTAGGTGACCTAATACATCAAAACTCAAGGTTAGATGGATATTCCAAAACAAATTAATTGACCTCTTTCCATAGTCGTCGCTTGCATTGTTCTCCGGTTGAAAAATCTGAGTGCGACATATAACATATATCCATCATTTTCAGTGAGTGGAGTTTTATTTTTGACTTGTTTGGTGTCTTCGAGAGGTCTGATTGACGCTTGGAGAGGGTGTTTCGTGTGATCCCACACTCTTGGTGCCCCTTGAATTGAAGGCCATTATGTTTTCTTGGCATTAGCAAGAGAGAACCCAAAGGATTGGATCCGCCGCCTTTTTACTTCAGTCACTTGGATGGTAACTGTAGTAAAATTACGTCCACTTCCAAATACTAGCCTGTCCAAAAATGATCACTGAAAAAAAAAAAAATCAATCAGATTCACCAAATATGTTAGTTAATCTAACACATATATGTTTACTCACCAATCTAGTGTGGATGTGAATACGTATGATGCATGCATTCCCTGTACGTTATTTTTTTTTAAATAGTAGTTGATCAATCCAGCAACTAATTTGACACTGACTTTTTAAATTCAAACTAAAAATATATTAAAAACTCAAAATTTAGACACGAAATTTGCCAACCTAAATCCTACAGTCCTAATAAGGTGGAAAATTATGTAGTAGAAACTAGAAAAATTGTGGTTATCCATGTGGTCATTTTTTTCGTAATATATAAATATATATATATTTTTTCTTAACATATAAAGTTTGACACAAAGAAATGGTCAAAACATGATTCAGGTAGTAAAAATCACGTTGAAGGAATCCACCGCTTTCTATTCCTTTAATTCAGAATTTTAAACCTCAATTCCATCCACAACCATGTGAAAAACACTAGAAAACAAAAAAGAAGGAAACCTCTTAAATTGTAGCAAAATCTAAGTGACCAAATGTCTTCTTCTTCTTTTTTTTTTTTTTTTCCTCATTAAATAGGTGATCAAATTTCTAGCACAATCCATGGATTTTTTATTTTTTATTTTTTTTTCCCTCTTTGGTAAAGATTTGACAGCACACATTATCTTGTACTTCGTTTATAGATATATGCTCATATAGCTTTGTACATGCTTTCATTAGTTTATAAGATTTCTTACTAAACCCAAAAAGAAAATATATTCTAAACATTATCCAAATAATTCACATCCTTCATAGTTTGGACAACTAAATTTGGGAAATGCAAAGTTTAATTACCAATCAATTTGAAATTTAAAAAATACCATCACATGAGATTCCTCCTTCCCAAACCTGTGAGATGCAGAAAAATAAAAATTAGAAGATAGAATTACCTTAATTTACTCATTTGCCAAAATATGTTCTTCATCCTGGTTTCCAGACTCTCTCTCTTTCCCAACACTTGTTTCTCCATCATCCTTATACGTCGTAAACCCTGGATTAAACACAAGTGGACCATTTTAATGAAAAGCAGAGCTTTGGTCCTTTCTTGCTGTAGTTCAGGACAAAACTTCATGATATTTATATAAAAAATAGTTTGTCACTAGAAAAAGAATATATATATAATCTCTTATCAAAGTTTCATGTCATTCCATATTTTACCCTTCCTTTCTTGAACAAGCTGCTACACATAATTATTGAGGTCACTCACTTCTCTATCTTTATAGTTACTATCTTGTAATTTTATCATCGGTGTGCTTATCTGTCCAGATGTGAATGTCTGCATTTCGTCACATCTTCCCAACAAAGATTTTGGAAACACACAAGTCATGTCCTAAATTCTCAACTATGATGCCATGTGAAATGTCAAGAGGTCATGGTATACATCTACATAGACTACAAACTAGGATTTAAACCACAAGGAATTCATTGATGTAAATATACCACAAGTATAAGATTAATGATTTAATTATTTACTAAGCAATACATGGATAATTAAATCATTCTAAGACAATTGTACTAGTTCATTAAACACATTAATGGAGTCAAGTTATAAGAAGTCTAGATACATGATAAAAAGTTAAAAGTCCCATGAAATACAAGTTATAACAATATGAATTAAGTTTCATACAAAGAAAATAATTAAACATAAGTTTCAAAACTTATCCAATTATTCTCAAATTGATACACGTGAAGGAACTTGTGAAGGAAATCATGAATACTAAGTTAGAACTTTATCAAACTCATGGAACCATTGAATAGGTTTTAATTAATTTTTTTAATTAAAATCTCTAGATTTCAAAACTCATCCAAATGCTCTCAAATTAAAGTATGTTATATAACATGCCAAAACTTGATTTAATAGCCTAATACAAGTGATTCCATGCAAGTTACAACCATGATAATTAAACCTTCATACAAGAAAAATAATAAATGAAAGGTTTCAAAACCTAATCAAATATTTCCGATTTAATATATGTGAAAGTATATGATATGCACATCAATAATATTAAGTCGGAAATCCAATGGAGTGAATAGTGCACTTGGAATAAATTAATTAATCTAATTAATTAATTATCTCTAGATTTTAAAACATCTTCAAATGCTCTCAAATTCGCATATGTTGAAGAGTATATTAGGGCCTAATATAATATGACATTACATTTTGATTTCAAGCTAGATAAGGTCACATGAATTAAATTTTCATTCAAGAAAAATATTAAATAAAAACTTCAATACTTGTCCAAATGCTCTCAATTTAATATATGTCAATGAACATATCAAGGGGTAATTTAAGGTCATGCCACATGTTTAAACCAAGCTATAACCAATTGGGAAAATCAAATCTCACACAAGAAAAATAAATAATAAAATCTCTAGATTTAATACAAAGACATGTAATTGAGTTGTATAAGCATCAATAGCATGCAATACATCAAGAATATAAACTATAACATCCCCTACTTCAATTTGAGATGAAAATCTCAATTCCCCACCAAAAGAAAAGTGTTTCGAATCCGACGATACCACGGGGTTATGTCAGGGACAATGAGAGGAACAACTTTAACCTTTGAGGTACCATGAAAATCCAAACCCGAACTTGTAACCCGAACTCAAAAATGGTCAGAAATGGATTCTAATAAGGGGGAAAGGTAGAGCATGACGAGGCCTACGATAAACGTTAAGGCGGAAGACTTTGTACAAAGGAAATCAAGTGGAGAAGAAGAAAGAGTGGTGGCAGCCCCTTGGGCTCCCATGGCTGCCAGCCAAGAGGAGGAAGAAGGGCTGAAATGTTCTCTTTAAAAGTTAGGGCAACTATTTATAGAAATTCCAAAAAGTGCCCCGAAAGGGCCCCGCCGGGTCTGGAAAAGTGAAATTGGAGCAAACGCGCTCAAACGACAAAACTTTGTGAACGAAAAAGAACTGAAACGAGAAAATATGAATAACAAAAGAAACGACGTCAAAAATCGAGTCCCGAGCAGAGAGAGATGCCTAAACAAGTTCGGCGGTAACCGGGGTCAGAAATCTCCAAAACTGGGAAAAACGACCAGGAGGAAATTCTAAGAGTACACGACTCGACAAAATGTGAAAATGAATTCCGTACGAGGATCCAGGTTCAAAACAAGGTATTTTTGCAATAACTTTCGTTAATTGCACAATGGCCCCTCCAAAAAGGGTTAACTGCACTAATGACCCAGAATGAAAATATCTTCAAAAAATATTTTCTTAAAAACCCCTGAAATAAAATATCTTCAAAAGATATTTATGAAAAACACCCCAAGAAAAGAAAAAGATTCTGAAAAACTGTGCATCCATGCCCTATGGATATCGGGAGCAACCAGAGTATTTTTCTACAAAAGTAAAGATACGTATTTTGTGAAAACCACTTAGGATGAAGGCACGTGAAGTCAAAAATCAACTTCGAGC